AACACATCGCCCTTCTTCTCTTCTCTATACAAAGCTTAGTAAAATAACAAAGTAGATCTATAAAAAAACGCGATCATGTACCATAATCTTTACTTCCATCTTTTGACGTTCTTCAATCCTTTCGATTTCTGTTTCGCAGCTTGAAATGCCTGCATTTTCTGTTTCTTCCTAACTTCCCTTTCGGCCTGGTTAAAATGTTTGACGATAAATAAATTACAAGGACAATTAGTATACTAAAGGTGAGTTAACAAGTAACAAAGCTTACAATTGAAAGAATAATGAAAGAATCATCGAAATTATACTTACCTTGGACATCTTGGATTTAGCTTTGGCTTTCGGAGATTTGTCTTCAAGCTCTGCCTCCCGTTCGAGCTCCCTTTCTCTTGCTTCAAGATTTTTCTCCAAATAATACTGACAGTAATAGGAAAATGTAATAGAATTGTGGTTAAATACTTTTGTTGCGATTGGATATACTTTTGTTGAAAGAAAAAAAAAAAAATCTCACCAGAGAAAAATGTTTGAAGAAAGTTTTGGGGAGAAAAAACCATTTGAAAAGTGTGATTGAATAATAAGATGGAAATGTAATTATTGAAGTAAAATAATGAGTAGGGAAGTTAGAAATATAAAATTTTATAGTAATTGTTTAGTAATAATTGAGTTTATTTATAAAAAAAATAGGGGCAAATAACTTTTTACCCAACATGACATAATGCCATTCTCCAGAAAGGATTCCTACTTCAAATTTTAGCGAACGGTTCTTCAAGGAAATTAGGACAGTACTTTGCAATTAAGAATATATAAATTTATAACTAAAAGCAGTTAAAACATCGCAAACTAAAATATGTTTAAACTGTGAAGATTCATCAGCAGCATCTATACCTTCTCACCGCCACTTAGAAATGAAACCTTCCTGTCGAGCAAATCAGCCTTAAAGTTGCAACGGCCCAAAAGACCCTTTATGTCGTCAAGTCTCCAATTCTCGGCAACTTCAGCAACAGATAATTTAAATAAATGAACTTCCGATCTGAAGAATGGAAATGGGATTGAATTATCGGGAAGTCACTAAAAGTGTGGAGGTGTGTCCAAATTGCTTTTCTTTTCAGAGGCTACAACTCAACGAGAATTTATCTTAAAGGAAGATAAAGGAAGCTAAGAATAGAAATACCATACATCACACAACAAACAGAAAAAAAGTTAGGATTGCAGGAAAAGGTAACCAAGAAAATGCAGTTCACTACTCTAAGAAAACACCATGTCCGGTTTTAAAAAAAAAAACAAAACAACATTGCAAAGAGAAAGCAAAATTCACTGGAATTATCAGAAAAATGTTTGGTACATATCAAGATGGTCGTACTGATCAAATTGTCGTACAAATTCCAAATCACATACGAAAAACATCAATACTGAACTGACCTTCTCAGCAGTAGAAGCACGGCCAGAATTCGCTCCAGCACTTAACCGGCTTATAAGATCTCTAGTCTGTTCTATCTCTTTTTGTTTTTTCTCCCATGCTGCAAACTGGGCTTCAACCCATGCTGCTTTAGCAATGACATATTCTGAGTAATTCCCTTCATATGTTCTAGAAACACCCACATCTGTTTCTACAATTTTCGTACACAACTGATCTAGGAAAGCCCTGTCGTGTGATATGATGACCATTGGCACATCTTGCTTATTCAAATAACCCTCGAGCCACTCAATTGCGTAAAGGTCAAGGTGATTTGTCGGCTCATCTAAAAGCAACAAATCTGGATCCTGCAAATTCATTCACAGATAAATCATGTAAAAACTTCCATGACCAAGAATATGAAATCAAAAGCATGTTCGAATCACTTCGCGCCAAAAAATTCATGCAAAGCCAAATTCTCCATTCTTTTTTTGATAGAAACTCCATCATCAAACACTAAAAGATGCAATTGGATGCCAAAAATCTCCCATTTTGAATTTGGTAGAGAAGATATTTATACCTGCAGCAAGATCTTCCCAAGTGACATCCTTATCTGCCACCCTCCACTAAAGGATGCAACAAGCCTATCTCCATCCTCAGCCGCAAAACCCAGCTCGGGCATCAATTTATTAATCTTCACATCAACCTCATGCAAATCCACAGCCTGCGCCCTCCTTTGCAGCAAATCAAACTCATCCAGAGGTTGAAGCAATATTTGCCTCTTCTTTTGTCTCCTGGCCCTTCGGTGTACTCTTGCACTGATTTCACCCACATATAATCATATATGCATCTCATGCAAGATCATGTATTAAAAATTTTAAGTCCATAGATGCTCAATAGATAACCAAAACATATTTTACAACTCAAATATTTTAACTTAAATATATATATATTCCAAACCTCACTTGAACATTATTATAGTCTGCATCTTTTTCCACACAAACAAATAATTCAATGTCTTTTGAATGTTTAAACAAAACAATAAGACAATAACATGCGACCACTTTACCGATATCATAGAAACTGATATAAACCTCAAGCATTTATTCAAGGCCTGATGGACATGTAAAAAAAATCCGTGGCTAATCAAATCCCCTTAAATTTGCATAGGTATGTATGTTCAGGAAATATATGTACGAACTGAATCCATAATTCCATATGCACTCAACATCACAAATCCGAAACAATAATAGTAAGCAATCAAACTCATACAAAAATCATCAATTTACACTTTTGGAGATAAAATAAATATAACTAAAATTGATGAAACTAATAGATCGTTATTAATATTGAATAGATCTTGAATGTTACCTTGACAGAAAAGACACGATTCTTTTCTAGGGCATACATCAATTCTTGATTGTTACTGAATTACCCGTTCATCTCATACATCAATTATCGCCGTTCGCTTAGTAGAGTACTCGTGCTGATAACGTGTTGTAATATATATTGACAATATGTAAGATCCATGTGTAAGATAGATAGAAAAACAAAGAAAGGATTAGAGAAGAATAAGAAAGAAGAGATACGCCGTTAAAACCCTCATCTTATTCATTCACTTGAGTCCTATATATAAGGGAATACAATGTACATGACTAAAGACCTAATGGGCTCCTGGCCCATACCTACAAAACTTATATCTAGGTAATGTCCACAAATTAATATTTACAACAGCATCTAAATATTAATAATTTGTTTCCAAGAAATTTTACTTTACACAATAGTTAAAGGTGGCTACCGGGTCAGGTTGACCTGTTGACCAGGGGTTTGAGCCAAAATTGAAGGGTCGGATGTAGGGCTGCAACCGAATCGAGTCGAGTCGAGCTGAGCCGAGCATTGGCCTTATCGAGCAGGATTGTGTTTTTTCTAGCTCGAGCTCGACTCGATAAAAAAATTACAATAGCTCGAGTTTGACTCGAAATCAAAATGCTCGAGCTCGGCACGAAAATTTTTAAGTGGAAATAGGAAAAATTATCTTTAAGCACATATGTTAATATATCTAATAAGGGGTATTTTAGTAATTTAACGTGTATCTCAAGTCGTTCGACAAGGCAAAATATGGGCTCAAACTCGACTCGAGTTCGTGATCGAGCCGCTCGAGCTCAACTCAAGTTCGGTCAAACTCGAGCTCGACTCGAACTTTGGCGAGTGCTCGCGAGTTGCTCGATTCGTTTGCAGTCATAGTCGGATGTGACTATAATTTATATCTATATCTTTTTATTATTTAAAAAAAAAAAAAATTGAAGACGTCGGGTCGGCAGAACCAACTTTTTCTTTTTTCCTAAATATTGTCTTTCACATATTTATTATTATTATATCCATAAATAGTATTCTCAAAGTGTTGAAGAATTTAATATATATTTTTGAGGGAGAGCTTTGCCGCCTTTGTGGTCCTACCCGGCTCGATTCCGAATTAGTCGGTTCTTCTGTGGATCCGAAAATCGGAAGGTTTCTGTACCAAAAAAAAAAAAGAAAAATTTAATATATATAATGAATAAATTAATTAAATTGTGAATGAAATATAGATTAAATGGAGAGACAAGACAGACCGTTTAAATCACAAGTTGTGATGAATTGAGAAGAGACGACAATGAGGACATTGACTAATCCGAAAAGATAAGGAAATGCACGTGCGTGAGAGCGAGTGAGAGAGACGGGAATTGGCATACAGAGGGACAATGCTAACTGTGTTGAAATTTGGATGTTCTGTTTATGAATTATGGGTTAGTGAAAATCGACAGATGTACAACTAAACACGCGCGTGTGGGCCACTTCCTGTCAACGTAGTAGAGGGAGTTTACCTTCTTGTTTTGATACAAGTATATGGGTTCAAAACGAATTTTTTTAGTTAATTAAGGTTAATTTTTTAAAAAAAAATATATATATAATATAATTAGTGGTTATGTGATTTTAAATTTACATCAAAAATATTTAAAATAAAATAAAAATAAAACAATTAAAGCTTATTAATGTAAAAATATGAGAGAGATAATGTAAAGTGGTGATTAATTAAAATTGAGTGAATAACTAATGAATTAAAGTTTGACTAGTATAGTACACGTGTGTGTATTATACGGGTGTTTGTTTATAAATTTATATTTAAAATTAAAAATAATAATACAAAAATTGATTTAAGCTTCAAATATTATTTTGAATCTATATTATAATTTTATATTTAAAATGAGACTCATCGCTTATAGGTTTACCATCTTATATTATAAT